CCCCCACCCACCGCCCCACGAGGGACTCTTCAGACAACGACCAGGGCCCCGCCCCGCCCCCATCCGTGCGGCCGTCCGCTGCGGCGCAGCCCATGACGGCCCCGCGCCCGCCGCCGCCCACCCCCGCCCAGCAGCCCGCACCGGTGGCCCCGCCGCCGCCGCTGCCCGCGCCCGCGCAGAGGGCGCCCAGGGTGCTGCCGACCGCCGAGCAGCAGTGGCAGCAGGACAACGCAGCTGCGGCCGCCATGGCGGCTGGCAACGAGATGACGGATCCCAGGCCGAAGCTGTTCTCCTCCCAAGACTTCCCATCCCTGCCGCCCTGCAGCCCCGCCAAGCCCGCCGCCGGGGCGGCGGCTGCGGCGGCTGCGCGGCCGGCGGCGGCCGGGCCGGCCCGCAAGGTGGGGCCGGCGTCGCCGGCCGGCAAGGCGGGGCAAGCGGCGCCGACGGGGCCTGCGGCGCCCGCTGTGATGGCGCCCTGGCTTAGGGTTATAGGTAAGGAGGTGGCAGGGTTTGGCTGCGGCAGCGCCACAGCCACTTCATCTGCTGCAGATGGGGGGCCCGGCTGTGTCTTTTTCAACAGCCGCTGTGAAGTTGGCCTACATTGGAAAGTCTCGCGATACACCTTGGTAAAAGCCACAAGGCCCCCCATACACACACGCGCATGCGAACGCACAACGCCCGCTGCACCGCTCGCCACATGTCGCAGTCACCAAGGACGTCGCACCTTGCGTCCTCGTGCCCCTGGCGCAGCTGCGCCTGCCCGCCGGCCGCCCGCCGTGCCCCGCGGCGCTCGAGGCGGCGCTGACGTTTGACAAGAGGGGGGGCGGCCCCAGGGAGCTGGTGCTGCTGGAGGGGGAGGGCGCGGTGGCGGCGCGGTTCGGCAGCGCGGACGCCGCCAGGGTCTGCCTGTGAGTGCGCGCTCGCGCTGAGCTTTCTCGTCATAAAATGCGATCCTCGGCCTGCGCACCAGACTCTGCAAGTTGGGAGCACAAAAAGCATATTTATCCTTACTGCAACGAGCTCTGGCTGATTCCACTTGCGGCCGCCTCGCATGCACGGCTGACGATGCATCCCCCGAGACTCGTCCGTCCTGGCCCAGCCTCGATCTGAGCACCCATCACCCATCCACCCCCCGCAGGACCTTCCTCAACGGCGTCTACCTCAAGAAACTTCCAACCCTAAGCAAAGCTTAGCCTACGCTTAGGTTGAAACGCATACAAGAAACGACCTTGGTCTACACCGCACAACTTTGGCAGCAATCAACCTCACCCCAGCAACATGCGACCATCAAGCGAGCCGCCTGCTTGCACCAACTGAAGCAGCAACCTTGTTCGCACGAACGTCGTCGGGAGCACACGAGTAGTACGCCAGCTCTGCGCTGAGGCGCACGTCTGCATGGCTGTCATAGGGCGGGCGCATGTACCGCGCCGCCTGGGCATGAATAGCGCGGCTGGGCAAAGGCTGCATCCCGACCTGCGCGTCTGCTGGAGGCCTCTCTCCCTGGTCGCCCGCGATGTGGAATGTTATCGCCTCACACCCGCGCGCACCTGTCTTCTCGGGGCAGCAGCTACGCACCAACGCAACCTCGGACCTGTCTCATCACCTGAACCCTCCGCCCCTGCCCACCTTGGCCTTTGCACTGGTCCTGTCCCCTGCACCTGTATTTCTGTTTGACTTCCCCATGCCGATCACTTGCCTGCGGCTCCGGCCCTATTTCTGAGCCTTGCTTTGTTCCGCCACACCCAATAAATCAGCATGATTGCCACCACGCCTGGCCTCCCTCCCACTTGGCATGGCCTGCCATGCTACTTGCTCGTCCCAGCGCTCCCTTCACGCAATAACAAACGCCCTTGCAGGCAACGACACTCGCGTCCGCTCACCTTCTGCTTTGCACCCTGCCTTGTGCCCTCACGCGACCATCTGCGTACCTGTCCCCTCGCATCCGCTTGTGCCTTGTGAGCAACCCTTGTTTCAACCACCCCTTGCAAGAACCCAACGCCTCTGCCGCCCTCCTGGCACCAAATGCAACCGACAAGCGCGTGTGTGCGCCTCGCCGGGCTGCTGGTGTCTGAGGTTTTTCACACACACATTTGCTGCAAAACGCTGCGCGGCGGCATGACATAACCTTGTTGCCTTGTCTTCTGTAACCGCAGGCTGGAAGAGAGGGTGCGCGAGTGACTGGTGACTATTCACCCAGGCGCCTGAGCCGCCCCAAGCGCAGCATTGCAGGATGAGACAATGGATACGCGAAACACCAATACAAACGGATGATTATTGCATTTCCAGGAAAGGCATTCGCAAATCTTGGCGTTTCTTTAGGACCTTATGATATGCAGTCCGGTTCATGCGAAGGGCACGGCAGTCCAGCCTTGCGAGCGCTGCGGTCCACAGCGTTTGCAGGGGCGGCCGGGGCCGCCCCAGTGAGCGAATACAGCTGGTGCGCAGCGCAGTGTGCGCGTGCGCCAGCCCAGCGTTGGTCGCACGGCAAACAACAACAGTGAGTGAACACACACGCAAACAATTCTGTGAGGATGGCCGGCGAGCCTACCTATCATCCAGCCTTCAGACGCTCGCACACACTCACTGAAGCACAGAACAGGACCGCTCTAAAGGATAACCTCAAAACAATTTACCGGGCCGCTGCCCCATCCTTGCGCCTGTTCAGGAGCACTCTCGCCGCTGCTCCCGTTCCTCGTCCTCCTCCAGCCCCCTGGCTTCAGGAACTAACCCCAGCCGCCCCGCTGCCGCTGCAGCCAGCACCGCCGCCCCCGTCGCCGCCGGCGCCCCCCGTGCTCGCCCCGCCACCATCGCGATCGCCAGCCTCAGCGTAGCCGCCGCCACCACCAGCCGCCCCATCCGTATCGGCGCCGCCGCCGTCGTCGCCGCCGCCGTCGTTGCCGCCGCCGTCGTCGCCGCCGCCTCCCTTCTGACAGCCTGCGGCCTCGGCTGCGGCACCGGCCGCTGCGGCTGCGGGGGTGCCGGCCGTACCTGCAGGCGCTGCAGGCGCCAGGGGCGCCGTGGGTGCGGCTGCTGTGGGCTTTCCCAGCTGAGTCTGGTAGAGGACAATCGCCACCCTGTGGCGGTCTGGGGTGGGCCGCCACCTTTTGATTGTTTGAAGCGCAGAGCGTGCAGCGTGGGTGAAAAGGACGGGGAACGAGGGGAAGAGGGTCAGAAAGTTTGAGGAGGAGGCCGTTGTGGGGGCTGTGAAATGCGCGAGGCCGCATGCTCGCGCTGGTTGCTGAACAACTATCGCAATCCCACGCCCGCAGCAATCTCAAGCACTTCTCGACGTAACAGGGCGCAGCGCCTCCAGGTCAGTCCGCCGGGATGGACCAGAGGTGGGGGGCCCAACCACTTCATTAGCAATCTCAGCCGCATGCCGGCACTCACAGCTTCCCATTGCCGTGCAGGCCGCAGGGCGCGTCCCCGCTGCGGTGGAAGAGCACCAGGCCCTGCCTCAGGTCCAGGGCGCGGCGGTACTGCAAGGGAGGTTTTCAGGGAAGGATTAAGGGTTCGAGGCTCAGGGCTCAGGGTTTTGCAATCAGGGTCCGTGCGTCAAATGGATTGAGGGATTGAAGCGCGCCTTCGCAGGGCAATTGAGCAGGTCAAGAGGATGGTTTTGGCTAACAGGGGCAGGGGCAAGCAACCTCCATCATCGGTGGTTCCTTCATACTGGGACTACCGAAAATCTAGTGACACCCTTGTGTCCATGTTCAATGGGATGCAGCAGGCGCGGCCCGCACAAGCAGAGGCGCACCTGGGGCAGGAGGTACGCGCCGCCGCAAAAGGCCGGCTGCGGGCCAACCTCCAGGATGACTAATGCGCTGTAGCTTCCCGGGACGTTCTTGCCGTCCAGGTGCACCGCGGTGCGGTAGCTGATGTTCAGGCTGCAGTGGGGTCATTCATTCAAAGTGGGGTCAGCACGTTTTTGTAATCAGTCTTAGGGAGGGGTAACGGGGTGAGGCGTGTGATTGTTCAGTGTGTAAGCAAAGCTCCGAGTACGAGTTTGTCAGGCTGGGGGGAGTCTGCTCAGAGTGTTGCACAAGTCAAAGGCTTGAGTTTGCGAGGGAGAAGCTATTGACATCAGAAAGGAGAGCTCGAGCAGTCGGAAAGTTGCAGCCACGGCCACGCCAGCCCTGGCTGTGTGAGGCAGGTCTGGAGGGGTTTCGGGGCGGGAAAAACAAGGAGGGGCTAGTGGGGAGGTGCATGCGGCGCGGCTGAGTCACCTGTACGCGTTCCATCCGCTGCTGCCCAGCCGTGATGAGGCCTGCAGCTCGCTCGCGTACATGAACTGGGGGTGGGCGTGCAAGATCAGGTGAGCGAGGGACAAAGGGCGGCAGGTTTGGGGGCACAGACGAGTTGCCACGGGTGCGAAAGCTGAGGTGAAGACGGCGTGTGGCCGGCGACGCTGCAAAGACAGGGTCGGGCTGACGTACAAGGGCGGCATCGTGAAGGTTTGATCACCAGGCGCGAGAGCCCTTTTGAGAGGACGGCCTTCATTTCTTCGACGTCACACCCACTGCAACGGCCCCCACCCCTTGGACGCTGCACTGCAACGGCCCCGCTGCCGCGCGTCCCCCACTTACGTTGAGCATGCGCCGCGCGGCGTCCCGGGTGGTGTCGTGCGCGGCAAACGCGGCCCAAACCAGGTCTGCTGCGGCGCCCAGCAGGTGCTCCCACCCCGACATCAGGAGGGACAGCTTCGACTGCACGACCTGGTTGGGCCGCGCGCCTATGAGGGCGTGGCAAGGATGCCATTGTAAAAGTAGTAGGGTGAGGGCCCGTGTTGCAACAAACAACATGGATGTCAGAGATGGAGACGAAGAGGCTGTTCCCGCAGATGCTCCTGACACACGCGATCTACTGACTGCAAACGGCGCCCCCTTGCAGCCGGGCTCATTCGGTCTTCGGAATGCACTCCGCGCTCGCCCGCCCTGCACGCGACCCGCGCCCCTTGAACCAAGCCCGTCCGACCTGGCATGTCGGCCAGCTTCTTGCCGCCGCTCCAGCTGTGGATGGGGCCGGACTTCCAGCTTTTGGCGAAGCCCATGATGCTGCCACCCTGGGCGGTGACGTCACCCTCCTCACCCACATAGACCTGGGTTGGTGGGTGTGCGTGTGTTTTTGTGTGTGTGTGTATGTGTGTGTGTGTGTGTGTGTGTGTGCGCGCGTGCACGTGGACGTGTGCGTGTGTGGATGGGCGGGCATGCGCAGGTGGGTGGGTGGATGGTGGGTCGGGCTGGTGTGTGCGTGAGAGCGTATGCTGATTGGTGGTTTGGGCGCTTGGCGGGCGATAGGATTGTGGGGTGTTGCTAGTAGGGAGCCTGCATCCCCCTTTGAGGGTGAGGGGGATAAGGGTTCCAGCATTCGGAATTGGCGGGATTGTGCAAAGCAGAAGGTTATGACGTTCAACGGCAGGCTGATGCTTTGATATCAGGCCGCACTCTGCGCAAAAGTGCAATAGCGTGGGGTGAGCAAGCACATGTGAGATGAGTGTCAACATGCAACGCTTGGCAATGCCAGGCAGGGGTCGAGAGGTGGAGGCAGAGGCAGAGGGTCGTCCTTTCTAATCCCCACCTTGCGGCCGTCGGGGGACAGGTGTACCACTGAGGCGCACAGGATGGGAGCGCAGGTGGAAGGTCAAGAGTCGCAAGCAGAGGATGCCGTCGCATCAGGCGCGGCGAGAGGCACGGTCGGCGCGCCGCTGGGTTGGCCGACCGAGCAGTCAGCGTTCGTGCCCAGAGCATGGTGGGCTCGCATTGACAGGGCTTACGAGTGATGCGATTTGCGAGCATTTGCGGCACACGGCTCCCAAATTGCTCAACGGTACATTGAAAGAATTGCCCCCACAGGCGCTCACCATGCGCCAGGTGGTCGTGGGGGTTACGGGGCAGCGGCAGCCCCTGCTGCCGCAGCCGCGCCTCGCGGCGCTGCAGGGCCTGGTAGACCTGCGGTGAAATGTTTTTTGGAAAGCCACCCCAAAACGACAAAAACTTGATTGAAAAAACATGGTTTTCACCACCAAGACACCGAGATAACAAAGACACCCGACTAGCGGCGCGCGCTTGCGCTGCGGGTACCACCAAGGCAGTGTTGGGCACGCCCCGAATGCCAGGACCCAGGTGCGCGCAAGGGCTTCGGCCGGTCGTGCACGGCCACAGCCGCGCCCAGCTGCAGCTGGCCGTGCGCAGGCGCCCGCCAGCCACCTGTCGCCGTGTCAAGGCGCCGCCCCTCCCTCGCCTGCACCCAAAGACGCGGCCTCGCACTGACTGCGCACCTGCTGCTGCACGTGGGTTTGACCCAGGAATGCGGTGATGTCCACGGGCCCCGCGCTCACGCGGCCTGCACGGCGAGACACAAATCATGGCGACTTCAGCTTCAGCATTCCCAGCCTGCCTTGCACAGGCTGCTCCTCGCACTCAGCAGGGGGGCTGGGTATAATACGAAAGCCTGCGGGGTCGGGCGCTGACGCACAGCAAGGCGATCCAGGGTCGGCCGGCAATGCTGCGGCCAATGGTGACAAATGATGACAAGCAGTGGCTGTTGAGTGACGGATGATGACCTCACCGTCCGTCAGCAGCGGCAGCTCCCCCACCCTGAAAAGTTCCAGGCAGCGGTCAACAAAGGGCCTCAGGTTGTCAAACGCGGCCCGCGGCAGCGGCAGCACGCTCAGCACATGCTCCCCGCTCGAAGCGTCGGCGGCGTCGAAGCCTTCAAGAAGGTGGGAAAAGGTGGGAGATCGGTGAGGGGAAAGCGGCTGGGCGCGTGACGGCCGGGTGGGGGTTTGGAGGCATGCTGCATAGCCAGGGCCTGCAAGGGTTGTGCTGCTGCTGCGCCCTACTGATGGCCGCCAACACGTAAAGGCCCAGCCTGGGATCCGTCCTTGCAACGCAAAGATCTCCACCGCTGCGCTGCCAATTGCCACCTGTTAACGATAAGTCGCCTTTCGACTTGGTTTAAATGCCACGTCCGCGTCTGCCTTACTTCAAAGAATCATCACTCACCTGCAGCCAGGACCTCGGCGGCAATGAGTGTGTCCCGGCCGACCACATACTCCTCGAACTTCCCAATCTGTGGGAGGTCGCACAGGAACCAGCTCTCCTTCACCGCCGCCGTCGACGGCGGCGCCACGGCGACGCCGCCTTCGTAGCACGCGCCCGTCACCGCCGGCGGCGGCGGCGCCGACGAAAGGCGCGCACGCTCGCCGTCCACGCCGCCGCAGCCGCCGTCGCCGGCATCCCGGCCCTGGTCGTCGTCGTCCGATGGCTCGCCTTCGTCACTCGATGACGTCAGCATGGCCTCCTCGGCCTCCGCCTTCCTGGCAGCTGCCTCTTCGGCTTCCACAGCCGCATCGCACCGCACAACCCCTTCCTCTGCCTCCTGCACCCGCCGCGCCGCGTCTCGCACCGCCGCGCGCGCCGCCCGCAGCGCGGCCGCCGCCGCGCGCCCGCCACCGTCCTTGCCAGCGGCCGCTGCCGCCGCCTTGGCCGCGCGCGCGGCGGCAGAGTGCGACAGCCGCAGCTTGCGCCGCGCGCGCTCGAGCTCAGCCGCTGCCGCGCGCGCTGCCTTTTGGGTCTCGTCACGGCGCCGCTTGCGCTGCAGCGCGGCCTGCTGGCGGGTCGGCCGCGGCGCCTCAACGCCGGCGTCGGCAGTAGCAGTGCCGGCGTCAGAGGTGCGGCCGTTCGCGTCGCCCTCCTGATTCCGCATAGCGTCAGTCGTCGTTGCTGCGGCCGGCTCCTCAGCACCCCTGGTGGCTCCGCCACTGCCCGGCCCCTCCAGTGCTGCCGCAGCTGCTGCCGTGTGCTGCCGCCCCTGGCTGCCGCTCTCCCCACAGTCAGGCCGCCCCGCTTGCTCCTGCTGCGGCTGGTTCTCGTGCCGCGGCGGCTCCGGGTGCTGCTGCTCCTGAACTGATTGCTCCTCCTGCTCTGGTGACGGCTGCTGCTCCAGATGCCGCTTCTCATGCGTGTGCTCCGGCTCGTATTGCTGCTGCTGCTGCGGAGGCTGATCCTGTCGCTGCTGCTTTGCAACCTGCATGACCTGCTCCTGCTCTTGTTCCTGTTCCTGTTTCTGCTGTTCATGCTGTTTCTGCTGCTCCTGCTGCTGCTCTTGCCGCTGCTCCTGCTGCTCCCCCTGCTTACGCTGCTTCTCCATCTCCTGGTCCCTCCCTTGCTGCTGCAGGTGCGGCTGCTGCTCCTGTTGCTGTTGTTGCTGCTGCTGCTGCTGTTGTTGCTGCTGCTGCTGCTGCTGCTGTTGCTGCTGCTGCTGTTGAAGCTGCTGCTGAAGCTGCTGCTGCTGAAGCTGCTGCTGCTGCTGCTGCCGCCGATCCTGCTCTGTGTGCACCTGCTCCTCCTGCTGTTCCCTGGTAGCTGACCCATACCCGCTGCAAGCATCTGCTGGTAGCGCAATGCTGGTGGTGCACCCGCTAACAACTGCGCTGTCATGAGCTCCGACAGCCCCCGCTGCTGCTGTCCCTCCCTCCGCCATCGACGCCTCTGTCGCTGCTGTCGCGCCCGCTGCTGCCGACACCGCCGCTGGTGCTGCTTCAGCGCTGTCACCGCTTTCATGTGGGGGCGGCTCGGCCCCCGTTGTGGCCCTTTCGTTCGCCGCAACTAGAGTGCCCTCCTTTGCATCTACTGAATCCACCGCCTCCACCGCTGCCGCTTCAACCGTTGCTGTTGCTGCGACGGTCGCCGCCGCTGCTTGCGCTGAGGGTGCTGTCGCCGCTGCTTCCGCTGTTGTCGCTGCTAAAACCGCCACTGCCATCTGCGCTGGCGCGTCTGCCTCCACCGCTGTCGCTGTCTTCTCCTCTGCTGCCTCTGCCTGCTCTGGCCCTGCTGCCGAGCCTGCCTCCGCTAAAGTCGCTGCCTGCCCTGCCGCCGCTGGTATATCTGCTACTTCCCCTGCCGCTGCCGTCTCTGCGGACCCTGCCTCCAGTGTCCCTGCTGCCTCTGCTGCTGTTGTTTCCTCAGCTAGCGCCACTGCCTCGCCTGCCTCCCCTGCCGCTGCTGCATCTGCTGCCGCGGCTGCTTTCGCTGCCACCGATGTCTCCGGCAGCCGTGGCAAAGTCGGCTTCGGAACCACCCAAGCGTCGCTCACGCGCATCACCGGCAGCCATCCATCATCAGCCCTTGCGGCAGGAATCTTCACACCCTCGCCGTCCTCGCCATCCGCCCCCTGGCTGCCGCACTCGACATCCGCTGCTTGCAAGGGCGTGGGCGCGCCCCCTGGAGCATCGTCGCCACCACCGTCCACGCCTGGTGTGCCACCTCGCAGCTCGCCAAAGGGCAGCGGGGGGCTGATTTCGTCGCCGCCGCCGCCGTCGCCCCCGCCGTCGCTGTCCGCCCCAGCAGCCGCCGCCGCCTCGGCCGCGCGCCGCGCGGCCTGCGCGAGCCCGCGGCCGCCGATGAAGTGCACGCCGCGGCCCCCTGGCCCGTAGTGCGGAGATGGGCCGGCGCCGCGGGCGCCCGCGGCGGCGCCGCCGCGGCCGCCGCTGTGCTGCAGCAGGCGCTCCTTCAGGGCTGAGTCTCGGGCAATGACCGCCCAGTCCGCGGTGGAAGTCCGGCAGGTGGCGCCTGCGGTTGCAAGGCGGCGCACGCACGAGGGCAGCCGTGATGCGTGTGCATGAGGGGTGGGGCAGTTGGCTTTTGCAGCAGTGGGGGGATGCTGGCTGCTGCACAGGCCTCTTAAGCACAACGCTTGGGTGGGCACGTTGCACCAGGAGACGTGAAGCGAGTGCGGGGTCCCCATGCTTTTTGCCAACTCTTAGCCCCACCTTTTCTCAGCATGCTGCAGTTCCACCTGGCCCCGTCCCCCGCCCGCTCCAGCCGCCTGGCCGTCTCGTCTGGGACGTTACGCCTGGAGAGGCGGGATGATGTCAGCGCGCGAGTGACTTTTCCCCGGGCCTGTGCATGCCAGCCGCCCCTGAGTGCACTGAGCGGGCACTGAGAGAGTGCGAACCAAGCCGGATGGCCCCAAACTCCGCCGCCCGCCGCCTGGACTGGAGTCGCGCAAACTTGGCAGCGGCTGATCGCCCACCATTTCCCGCAGTCGTCGCACTGGGCCCAGCTCTCAAAGTCGTGGTGCTCCGTCACGACAACCTCGGAGCCGCACAGCGGGCAGGGCGCCGTGTCATCGCGTCCGAGGTTGGTCCAGAAGCCGCACGCGCCGCACGCCTCCCACCTAGGGGCAACGGGTTCGTGGGCGAGTCTGGACACCGGCACCAAGCAGTATAAACAACTACATGCGGAGAGGAGCGAGCCAACCCGCTCGCCATGAACAGGAACTCGGGTCAGCTGAGTGGAAGCCAACAGGAAGGTGGCAGCAAGGCTGCCCACACCAAGGATCTGGGTACCTTGCCCAGCGCCCGGAATGCAGGACACTGCAGGGCAGTCCAACTGCTCAGACAGGTGCGGATTCACCATTACTCACCTGTCACGCTCTTTGTTCTCTGCGTGAGCCTCTGGCCGCCACCCTCCGCCGCGCCCGCCGCGGCCTCCGCCGCGCCCCCAGCGGCCGCCCCATCGGCCGCGCTTGGGCGTCCACTCGTCAACCCACGACTGCGGCTCGTGGCCGATGTCGATGGCAAAGTCGGCCAGCCGCGAATTGACGCCGGCGCGCGAGCGCTTTTGCCTGCTAGCGGTGAGACCAGCGGCGGCGCCACGCTCATGCTCGGGCGACGATTCCTCCGCGGGTGCGTCGGGGTCTGGTGTCATTCTATGATGCGTTGAACCATGTTTATCATCCATCGCACAGGTGCAATTGTGCTAAGATCGTCCAGGGCCGCTTTTGCGAAAGTTGAAGATCGTGGCCGGTGACCGCGATCGAGAGCGCATGGTCAGGTGCTCTATATGAAATGTACGTATCTTGGACATCGCCAACGCAGCACGGCACATTGGTGCGGCAACCGAACCCAGCATGCGTGCCGCCGCCGGCCGGTCGTCCGGCGTATGCTCGGCCCTTCGCCTGAGCCTGCTTTTGCACGGCTCGGCACACCAAAATTTCTATGTTAATGAGAATGCGCCTGCCCCGCCCCTGGTCGTGTCACTCCCCTGATCGGGCATGGAACGTCTGTTGATTGCCCTGCCGCGCCAGTCCGGCCGCCATGCCACACTCTCCCATCTCATCCTCCCTCTTCTTCCACATACCCGTTCTTTGGCAAATGCACAGCATCAGAAGATGCCGTCTTGATGAGACCGCCCCTGCAGACTCTCAGCTCAACTACCGTGTGCATACAAAAGCCCGCGACCCACTGTTCATGTCCCAGGCCTAGCTTGCTCAAACCCTGAGACCCGCCTGCCACACCTTATGTGCAAACCCGTGGCTCAGCAGCGACCAGGCCCTTTGAGGGAAGCCCGTCGGATCCTGATTACATTGTCTGAAGAAGATGCGACGAACACTCACACAGACCGAGCGCAAGCGTGCCAAGATCAACACGGCCGAGGTGCCAACCACCACAATTGGGGGTGAGTTCTGTTCGCAACAAGCGCTGCGGCGTGCATGTCGATGTGTTTGCCTTATGAAGCGCGGATGCGTGGTGTTATTGTGGGTATGGTGTTGTTTGTGTGTGGAGGGGGCAGGGCGTCTCGCGGCCGCGGCATGTTGCGTTGCAGGCGGACGCCGGCTCAACGTGGTGGTTCAAGCAACCGACAGCAGGCCAGGGCGGGGCCCGCGCCTGTTGTGGAGTCGGGGAAACGCGGCGCGTGCGCGGCAGCACAATTACCTGGCAGCACGCCTGCCCGGCGGCACGATTCGCGACAACCAGCAGCAAACACACCCTGTGTGCTGCGGGCTGCTGCCCGCCACGCACGTCACCCTAACGTGGAGTCAGCAAATGCAGTCACGAGGCCCTGAAGGCACGGTGTCATATCCAAGAGCGGGCAGGAAGTTGCAGCAACGGCCGGAAGCGTGCATCTTCAATGAGTTGGGGCGCCAACACCCTTCTGGAGAGCCGATTTGCTGGCACGGAATAGGCTACAGCCGTGCACATCCATCCACTTGCTGCTGGCGGCAGCCAGGTGTGCTGTGAAGCGGAGCGAGCCGGGTTGCCCGGGCTGCAGTGCGAAAACTCAACTCCCACAGGCCCAACGGGCAGAGGGGCGTGATCAATGAAATTGCCTGAGGGACGCCCGAGAGCAATGACGGGCACATTTGTGCAAGAAAAAGCAGTTCCTTGGCAGTTATGAAATCGCAAGGGCTTGCTGCGCGTGTGTTGGTTGATTGGCAAGCTGCAATCGCTGCAGAGCTCGCAAGCCGTAATTGCGGGCCGCAACGCTTGCACCCGCGGGATGCGCGGAGAGCCAGGCCGGCAGCTGGCGAGGCCGAACGAGCGCACGCAGAGCCAAGGAGTGCAACGCAAGGACGCGCCTGCGCTGCCCCCACATGCAGGAAGCCAGGCCCGCCGGCCGCTCGACGCTGGCGCGCGGCGGCCCCTCATTTGGCCGCGGCGAGCGGCCCCTGCCGCCTTCGGAACCCAAATGCGCGCTGGCGCGCGGCCAGCAGCGACCGCCGGTGCTGACGCAGCCGCCGCGCGCCGGCGGCCCCGCCCAGTGTGATGCTGCGCTCAGCCGAGCCGCCGGCCTCGTTGATAGCGGACACCGTGAACTGGTATTGCTGTCACAGCGGCGGGGTGATTGAGGGTTGGAAGGAAGCAGAAGCGTCAGTAATAATCCAGAAGGCCGGAGACCAAAATGGGTAAAACTATCCGAGGTGACATCGTCTGTACGTAAGAGCAGGCAGCAGGCAGAAGGCAGCAGGCACCAGGCGAGGCTGGTGGCGCCGCTGCACACATGCGGCCCGGCCGCAAGACACGAGTTCAGTGTCACGAGTGAAGCCGGTCTTTTGCATGCCGAGGCTTTTTGTGACCGGGTCCCGGGACGACGAGACGGCGCTGCTCGAAACATCAAAGGCACAGCAGCGATGCAAGGGAGCCTGTGCTTTTCAGGGCAGGGCGGCCAGCGGAAGGACCCGGCACGCACCTGGCCGGGCGACCCCTTGAAAGTGAAAGACCCCGCAACCTTGGATGTGGGGTTGAGCCCCGTGATCTTGGCTTTGGTTATCTTGCCGCTCGCGATGTCCATGACCTGGGGAACCAGGGGTTGATGTCACAGTGACATCACAGTGGAATTAGCAGTGTTCCATCGAGCGGAATTGGCTAAGAGGCAAAAACAACGAATTTCTGCTCACACACGGTCGCTGCTCACACGCTTTTGCTGCTGCCCACATGCAGTCACTGCTGACGTGGCAATTCAGCCGGCGGCCCGAATCAAACAGCCCGTGGAGCCTCGACTGCAGGCAGCCGGTCGGCCGGCTGAGGGCAAGCGTGTACAAAATCAGAAACGCGTGAGGCGGCGGCAGCTTCCAGACTTGTAAGGCAGCTCCCCGCGCACCTGTATGTCGTAGAAGTTGATGCACTCTGGGCCAGATGGCGGGTCCCAGGTCAGTTTGATGTTTCCGTCGGTGCTGGCCGAGACTAGCCGCAGGTTGCGGATCGGCTGGGTGCAGGAGCGCAGTGAAAAGGCGTGTCATGAGATTATGTGTGTGTGTGTGTGTGTGTGT